ACACACACACACACACACACACACACACACACACACACACACACACATACACACACACACACACACATATATATACACACACACACATATATACATACACACACACACACACACACACACACACATATGTTTTGTTAAGTTTTCGCGGGTACTTACATGTATGGTATTCAGCTTTGTTCGGGTATTTTCCCACATCATTATAGTTGTGCTTTTAAAGTTGTAGCAACGTTTTGGCAGAATCTCATCTGCCATCATCACAGACGAACACAATACAGAAGCCTGATGATGGCAGATGAGATTCTGCCGAAACGTTGCTACAACTTTAAAAGCACAACTATAATGACGTAAGTTTGGAGACCTCTGGTGTAGGGTCTCCTGCTTGAGCAGGGGGTTGGATAGAAGACCTCCAAGGTGTCATCCAGCCAGTGGTGGGATTGAAATAATTTAACCACTGGTTTTCTGCCCTAATGATTTCTTCCAACAACCAGTTCAACAAACTGCTCAGAAAGTTAACAGCCGGTTCTCCCAAACCAGTGCGAACCGGCTGAATTCCACCACTGTTTCCCACTCTATTGTGATTGATCGACTTCTTTCTCTTGTGCTATGCTTAGTTTGTGTCAAAGTGAATCTGGTATATTGTTATAAAGTGTCTTTGAAGTGAGTCTGGAGTACTAATGCTGTTATTCCTTTCTTCCCAGGTAACCCTGAAATCAGGAACAAATATCTTGTACTGGAGAACAACGGGGATATTGATGGGGTCGCAGGTGGTCAAGCCCATCCTTGTGAAAAACATCACAATTGAAGGTGTGACCATTTTCAGTGCATCCATAAGACAATTTTGTTTTCATTGCAAGGAACACTCTTGTCTTATAGCAAGGGCCTTCAAACTTGGCAGCGTTGAGACTTGTGGACTTCAACTGCCAGAATTCCTCCTCCAGTCAGGTTAGCTCAGGAATTCTGAGAGTTGGAAGTGTACACGTCTTAAACTTGCCAAGTTTGAAGATCCTTGTCTTATAGTAACAGCTCTTGTACTTTTAGGTACTTAAATGAGTTCCATTCTGTTTTTCTTTTAAAAAAATCAAATAATAATCAAAAGACTAATCATGCAAAACTGCTCATAAAAACACCTTGATTCTAAAAAAAGCATTTCTTCAAGGAAAGCCAATGGCAGGAAAAAATAAAATAAAATAACCAGGGAGAGAGGATTAAATCAAAATGCAAAAAATTCAGGAGGAATTGAGTGGCACTTTTTCAGCGTAATTCTTTTTATCCAAAGGCATTAATTTTCACCAGGCTCAGCTTAGCTGGTCAGCTGCATGGCTGATGGATGGGACACCAAGAGGAAATCCCCAAGTTGAAAATGAATTCTTTAAAAAAAGTAAAAATAGTAATAATTTAAAAAAATAATCCTGGAAAAAGGAACTGGCTATTTCTGTCCTGTGGCCAGGCAAACAATATTGATAGGTTCATGCAGACTCCAGGAATTAAGATCAGCTTGTGGTAACCTTTATTTTTGCAGCTGGAATGGGGGATGTATAGGAGAAGACTTAACATGAAAATGCGAAGTTTCTGATTTTTGATTTCTGATTCTTACTTTCCCATTCTTACATCTCTCTGAGGGAGATGGGAGGCTAAGAAATAGGGAATATAAAGAAATTTTTGCAGTGGCATTTTTTAAAAAGTAGTATAGCAGTTTGGCGGGTGAGTTAGTTACTAGGAAAACAGTGACACCTGCTGGATAGGACTGAATCCACAGGGAAAATAGTAGCTTGATTAAGAATTCAGGCGAGTGAAAAACTAAAATTCATATGAAGTCAACTCGTGATTTATAGAACAATAGATAGAATAATATCATTAAGCAAAATGGTCGCTCTTTTTGTAGAACAACAACAAGAAAAAATGCATTGGGTGGGAAAAGAGTTATAGTTTTTAAATAATGCAAATTTTGTAAGTTGTGCATATTTTATTAGAATGATGGGAGTGATCTGCAAATGTGTTGATTGCAACCTAGGAAATGGATTACACCAAGGATTTCCCCCCCCAAGATATTTTGGGAGATGCACACGTTTTGCTCCCATCGAAGAGATAAGTGGCCCTTTCTACATGCCTATCTCCCAGGAATTTCCCTTCTTCCCACCTCAATCCCTTTTTAAAATCTCTCGCCAAACTTTTGAATGAAAGTTGACATTGAGTGCAGAAGACATGCATCCCTAGGTGTCAAAGGAATTCATAGAGTTTTATTCTTTGGCTGTCATTTTAAGAAAAGGGAGCACTTTCGTTTAATAGCATGCTTGAAGCTTTTAAAATAAAGCAGATCTGCTATTTGGGTTAAGTTTTTAAATACATCCTCCGCTTTTTAGAATATAAAGAGGCCTCTAGCTAATCCAAGAAAGTTCTAGGTCAGGGGACTCCAAACTTGGCAACTTAAAGACTTGTGGACTTCAATTCCCAGAATTCTGGGAGTTGAAGGCCACAAACTATGCTGGCTGGAGAATTCTAGGAGTTGGAAGTCCACAAGTCTTAAAGTTGCCAAGTTTGGAGACCCCTGTTCTAGGTAAATAGAATTTTGAATTTTGTATGAATTTTGTAGCTACACAGGGATTGAAACCCAGATAATCTTGCTCCAATCCAGCATTATGCACTCCAAAATAACCTCATATATGCATACACACACACACACCTCCATTATTGCCACTGAAGCCTACTTCTGGGTGGTTGTGTACTTTCTTTTTCCACCCTTCTTGTTTTGCAGGGGTGGCCTACACGTCTGAATGTTTTCCCTGCAAGCCGGGCACTTTTAGCAACAAATCAGGTTCCTCCCTCTGTGAAATCTGTCCAAGAAACACCTACTCAGAAAAAGGGGCCAAGGAATGCACCAAGTGTCCAGAAGCCACACATTATTCAGGTACTCTTCCCTTCTCCGAGGAGAACTGGATGTTCCCCTCAAAGCTAAAAAAGATCTCAGGGGGATTTGAAGATTAGAGATCCATTTTTTTATGAAGGCAGCACTGAGAACTCATAGCCAGCCAGAGAAGCCTTTTCTAAGCATGGAGGCCTTTGCGATGTGATATTAAATAAGAAAGGACATTAATGTTGCATGTTCAGAAATTTGCATGAATGAAGTGGCATCATAGAACATAGAATGATAAGAGTTGGAAGGGACCCCAGAGGTCTTGTAGTCCAACTCCCAGCTCAAGGCAGGTGTCAACTCGTAAAACATTCCTATGCCTGTTTTCGAATTGCCATAAACAAGGGAGGGGGAAATCTAAAGGAGCAGTACGGCAATTTAAAACCAGAAGTACATTCCATGCTTATCTTACAAAGATTGTAGCTAGGCTACCGGATCTTCTGCCCCTGAAAACCCTTCATTGGAGAATGTGATGGATGACACCCAGCCCGTGAAGGTGCTTCATTGGAGAATCTGATACACCTGGGGGGAGGGGGGAAACAGGGTCACAGGTGACAATAAATCACACCGAGTTGGCTTTAACTGGGATAATGCTGACATGTTGCTCCGAATAAATCTTTTGAATTCTTTTGAAGCTTGGCTCAAGGTTCATGATTTAATTAGGGCAATTGGCGGAACCCTGACAGCAGGAACCTTATTAGTATCTCAGCCAAACGGTGGCCCAGTCTATTTTGGAAAACCTCCAGTCATGGGGCACCCACCACTCTGGGAGGCAAGCTACTCCATGGATTAATCAGGCAAATATGATATGAATGCCGCTACTTGGTGGAATGAAACCCAAGAATGGAATACACGCCTAGAGGGGTTTCAATTGTTTAAAAGAAGCAGACCTAATAAAAGAGGAGGTGGAGTTGCACTCTATATAAGAAATAACTGCATCTCTGCAGAAATATAGCAGAACAACTCTTAGAACCATCTTGAATGCCTTTGGGTTAATATAAAAGTTTTAAAAAAGAATAACGTTGCCATAGGTGTATACTACAGGCCACCCAGACCATACAGAATAGATGAACCTCTTGCTAGTCAGTTAACTAGGTTATGTAGGAAGCACCCAACACAATAGCAGTGGGGGACTTTAAGTAGCCTGACACCAACTGGGACAGAAACTGCGCCTAATGGAAGATCAAGGAGATTATTCTGTGAATTATTCTCACCGTCAGAATTCCCCCATCCCGTTATTTCTAAGTCGGATCTCTCCTGATCAAGTTTCCATCCATTGCTTCTTGTCCTTCCCTCTGGTGTCATAGAGAACAACTCAACCCCCACTTCTTTACGACAGGCCCAAAAATACCAGAAGACTGCTACATCCTTCTCTTCATAAATAAAGTTGCCTTGAGAGGTTGTTAAAGAGAATCTGCTTTCCAGATTTATTGTAACTAAACTAGCAGATAAAGAGAAGCAGCCCAGAAATAAAGATAAACTTCTCAGCAGTGCGAACAATTAACCAGTGGAACAGCTTGCCTCTAGAAGTTGCAGCTGCTCCACCACGAGAGGTTTTCAAGAAGAAATTGGACAACCACTTGTCTAGAATGGAATAGGGTCTCCTGTTTGAGCAGGGGGTTGGTCTAGAAGACCTCCGAGGTCCCTCCCAGCTCCGTCATTCTGTCTCTTGCTTCTCCCCCAACGGATGAGAAAGCCCCGCCTGCAGCATTTCGGGCCAGGCAAGGTGTTTCTTACGCTTCCTGTCTTTTACTTTCAGATGAAGGATCAGGCCGGTGTCTGGAACGCCTGCCCTGCTCCAGCAAGGACTTTTTCCAAATCCACACTCCGTGTGATTGGGAAGGAAAAGTGAGTGGCATCCCTTCCCCTGCTCCCAATCCTCAAATCTTCCCCCCGACTATTTAAAATGGGGGCACCGCAGTGAGTCACACGTCAGAAGCCTTCACTCAGGAGCCTCCGAAGGCTGATCCTCCTTTCACCAGGGATCGGCTCCTGCATGGAAAAGTCTTTCGGCTGGGCTGAACTCTGCGTGTGTCCTGCACAAGAGTGAGATGCTCTCAAACGCCTTGTAGGTACACGGGTCCAGTTTCGAAAGTCAAGGCAGGAAACCGATCCATGCCTGACCTGACTGCTCATTCCTGATGCTTCCTATAGAAGGGAACATTTGTAGCTCAGGGTTGGACAGTGGGGTCCTTGGTGGTCTCTGAGCTTGGCTGTTCTTTTGCAGACGTTTCATGACCCAACTACGTAACCTTTTAAGTGTTAGATAGGAGCAAACCCCACTCCCTTCTAGCACTGATTATGTTACCTAGTTGGGATATGAAATGTCTCCAAGAAAACAGTGGAGCTCAGAGAGCACCAAGGACCCCAGAGTTCTCCTCCTCCTACCCTCCTCCCCCTCCTCCTCCTCCCTTCTTCTTCTCCCTGCAAACCCCCCCTCCCTTCTAGCACTGAAGCTGTTACTTAGTTGGGTCATGAAATGTCTGCAAGAAAACCACCGAGCTCAGAGAGCCCCGAGGAGCCCACAATTCTTGATTTTTCAAGCAATGCACCAATAGTTCAGAGTCAGGCTTCCAAAGATGTTCAGCCCTTGCCATGGTGGTACCTTTTCAAGCATGCTTGTTAAGCCTGGATTCCCCAACGGGTGTTAAGGAAAACAAACTAAAACAGAATGTACAGCGAAGTCAGATAGGAAGACAGGTAAATGTGTGAGATAAGTTTTCTAGTTAACACGCAGTAAAAATACAGATACGCTTTGTGCTATCAAAAATATTGTTTATTCCATTTAAGAATTATAGCATAGTCAAATGTAACGGTCCATTAGTCATATACCAAATTCAGTCAAGTCTTGTCGAGGATACTCTAATTGCAAAGTCCGTGTCGAATAGCCAGTGTCAGTACACATATAATAAATCTGTCCAAACTTATCTTCTCTCCGTTGAGAAATATCTTCAAAGTAATCCAACACTTCTTCTCCTCCCCGATCCAGCAAGAACGCAGTCTTCAATAAGCCAGCCAGTAAGAGCCAGAGAGTGCCTTGCTGCTTATATAGTACTTTTACAGCTGCACCCTTAATTACATTCCTTTAGCTTAAAGTCACATACACTTTATCTGACAAACCATGATTCATCATTTTATTATCTTTACCCAAAACAGTTAGGGTAAAACAATGTTATCCCTAACAATGCTGTAAGCTAATCCTTACTCACTCCATTTCCCCTTCCTGCTCTGGTTTTGGTGGCTGTGCAGAAGAAAAGTTTCCACTCTCCCATCAAATGTTGACTATAAACATTGAACGACATGAATTTATCCAACAGAAACCGGGTAAACATTTTGCATGAATGTTCCCACATCCAGACACTTCTTTAGCAGCAGTTGGCCTATCTTGGATATCTTGATAGTGACATTGAATTCATGTTGCATTTGCCTCAGTCGCTCACTTCATCGGATCTTCTCCAGGCCTACGCTTGACTTCCAGCTCCTGTTGGGTTGCTGTCAACCCTGAAGCTGGCCTGACTGAGGCCATTTTGAGGCTTCCATGCTGGCACATTGGAGACGAAGGGCAGGGAGGAGGGGGGAATAGAGATAGTTGAGGGTGTTGTAGCCAAAACAAAATACTTTCTCTTGGGAACCAAAGATATCCCTGCAGCTGCTCGGAAGGAGGGGACTGGAGTCACCTAGCAACTGGACGGCGTCTTGATTGGCCTGTGTGACTGGTTGCTTTGAGAAAGTGACAAAATGTTTACTTTTAATTAGGTGAAAACCGTGGGAATATTCAGCGTCGGTTTTCACCAGCCTGTGCCAATATGACGTATTTATTCTTTGAGGAATATACCTGCCTCGGAGTTTTGTTTGCTACGGGGACGTGGCTTGGAACCCTGTCAGTGGCTTCCTTCCCTGGCTGTCCCTCTTTCTCAAAGCCTCTCTCTTTCTTTTTGTGTCTTCTCGTTTTCAGACCCAGATCATGTACAAATGGGTGGAGCCCAAGATCTGCCAAGAGGATGTCTCCGAAGCGGCGAAGCTCCCTCCTTCGGGAGAGAAGAAAGGATGCCCGCCTTGCAACCCTGGTTTCTACAACAACGGCTCGTCTTTCTGCGCTCCGTGCCCATCGGGGATGTTTTCTAATGGAAACCAGGGTATGAGAAACTGACCGGGATGGGAACTCTGGATTAGCAATAGAAACCCTCGCTTTCACTTGAGGTTGTGTTGGTGGCAGCCACGCGTCCTCTGTGAACTCAGACTGTGATATACAACACGGATCTTGAAGGATCTTGTGCCTCTCAAAAGCGGGAAAGCTCATTGAATCAGGGGCAAAACAGACAGGAAACTAGACGGGATGAATTAGTTGGACTTTATTGTAAGGATACACTGACAGAACCCCGCATGTCTGAAGACACAAACTTCTCGCTTCCATTTTTAAGTGATTGATTCATTAGGGTGGGTCCTTCTGAAGTGATGTAGGGTTTCCTGCCTAGGCAGAGAGTTGGACTAGAAGATCTCCAAGGTCCCTTCCAGATTCTATTCCTATTCTATTCTATTCTATTCTATTCTATTCTATTCTATTCTATTCTTAAGTATCTTTCTCTGGCCTTTAAGCACAGGAGGCTCTCTTTAGCGTCAACTTCCTTTCGATCATCTAAGGCAGAATAACGTAGTAGGGTACTTTCTGATCCAGTGTGTCTACTGAGTATTACAAGGCCCTCATGCAAGGGAAACATCACGCTTTCCGAGATGAAGAATGCTGTGTTAACTGAAAGGTAGCTGGCCTGAATAACCCAAGCAGGTTCATCCACGAAGGTCTGTGTCAAGATGCCACCCACAACCACGTGATCTGTAGGGCTTGTGTAAAAAAAAAAAGGACAGAGCTTGGACTCCACGGTTGAGATCACCAAATTTTGGATTCTCTCTCTATGGGAATCTTCACATCATTTAGATTGGGGTGGGGCTGTTTTTGTTCTTACAGTGCTTAATAAAACAGTTTTTTAAAAAAAAAATCAAGAGTTTTTTTTGGGGGGAGGAATTGTTCTGACCCAGCTCCCCAAACATGAGAAACCCTCTGACGTGAACTCTAAGGATTCCTTTATTAGGAACGCTGGCAGCCCCGACAAAAAGTTTCTCTCTCACTGCAGGCTAACAAGTCTCTCTGGCCGGAAGAGGAATAGTTCATCTATTCATCTCCGCCTCCTGCCTTTTATCCCCAGAGCCTGGGTGGGGCTCGCTAGCAGTGGTGGCTCTTCCGTCCCAGGGACCGGCCCATAGATTTCCACTGCTCTCCTCTCCTCTGCCTTCTGCGCATCCATGTATCAGGCACTGGTCCCAGCTGTTCCTCCTCTTCCTCATCAGCCACCTCCAGACCTGGGGGCTCTTGACTCTCCATCTGAGGGCTGATGGGCGGCCCAGCCCCTGCCTGCCTGCCCCCCCCCTCTCTCTCTCTCTCTCTCTCACACACACACACACACACACACCTCCATTCCCTCTTCTCCCTCAGAGCCCTCAGGTTGCCCTGATGCTGACCCTGACTCCCATGCCTCCTTCCCTCTCCTCTGACTCGGCTGCTGGAGGGCCGGCAGCTGACAGGCCTTGGCAGGAGTAACTTAATTCTCGTCTCCTCCTTCTTTAGAGTGCCAGGCCTGTCCTGCTGGCACCGAGCCAGTGCTTGGACTGGAATATAAGTGGTGGAATATGTTGCCTCTCAACATGAAGACTTCCTGCTTCAACGTTGGGAACTCCAAATGCGATGGGATGAATGGTGAGCTGGTCTTTATATTACGTTTCCCATCTCTCCCTTCGTGTTGCTTCAGACCCTGAAAGAGACGTTGGATGAGCAAGGATCCAACCAAGCACGGTGTTTCCTACAACATCAATAACTTACGCTGTGCTTTTATCTGAATGGGAGATCAGGATTTAGCTGTTCTCATAGATTGGAGAGCATTTTCTCCTAAGCTTTAACCTTCACCCAGGGGTCAGCTGTGTGCTGAGGAAAAGCACCTCCAAACAAGAGCAAAGGAAGAATGTCCTTCTAAGGATCTCAGCCGTCCCTGGCAGAGGAGAATGTTAGGTCCAAGATGCAGCCTTTGCTTTTAAGGTGAGAAATGGGCCTGCTGTGCCTCTCGGAGACTTCAAGCTCCCATTTCTTCTCTTAAAAAGCCCACAACAATTCCCATAAATTTACTACATCCATCCTGGGGGCTCACGGCATCTTTGAGTTGTCCCCTGTGGCCCTTTGGGTGGCCAGAAACTTGGAGATGCCCTCCGCTTGGACCTCTGGCAAGTGGGAACATTTGCATGATCAGTGATACCTCTTCATAACCATTGGTCCATGTTCCTTGAAGGCTACCATAGCAAGCTGTAGTTTCTGTACCCATGGGCAAGGTGTGTGTGTGTGTGTGTGTGTGTAAACCAAAGTGATTGGATTTAGGGAAGATGGGTTAACATTTTCAAAATTACAGACGGTCTATCTATAGATGGGACTTTCCTTTTTCAGGCTGGGAAGTTGCCGGTGACCACATCCGGAGCGGGGCAGGAGGCACAGATAACGACTATCTCATTGTGAACCTCCATGTACCAGGATTTAAGTAAGGAGTAGAGTAATTTCTGATGGGTCTGGCAAGGGGATTATGCTCCGGTCCTTTAGCAGGCTCTCAAATGGAGCCTGGAGGGCAAACCTGGAGGAGATGCAGTGGGCGTCCTTCTCACAATCTGCTTTGTTTGTGCGTTAAGAAGCATAATTTCTTTTCAAATATGTTGTTATTTTATTATACAAATAGTAGGAAAGTAGGGGAGGGATAAGTGTAGGAAAAAGGGGAAAAAAAGAAAGAAAAGGCATTGAAATTCTGACTCCCTTTGGTGCAGTAGGATAAGATAGTAGCATCAAACCTCAACTTTTTACTTTTGCATAATAATATAAACTAGCCACTTCCATAACAACAAACCCATCTAATCGGTAAAACCCAAAATCAACGTTTTATTTTTTTCCACCTCAAGCACCAAAGCTCAGAAGTGGTTTCCAAGAAGAAACAAAATAATCGTGGCTTTTTTCTTTAATAAGAAGCATAATTTCTGAAGCTGAGTTTTAATAAGATAAAGTACAAATAGCATACATGCTGTATGTGACTACACACACACACACACACACACACACACTAAAATTGGCAGTTCATTGAAGGCAATAAACAGTCTCTATAGTAAAGGGGTCCAACCTTAGGAACTTTTAACATGTGGACTTCGTCAAGGTCTTTTGACACACATGAGTTCTATCTTAACTTTAGGAAGAGGTAATAAAGATCCTTTATCATTTAATTTAAAAATATTAGGAAAATAGAACAAGGCTAAAGATGCTAAACTTTTTTTAATTTATGAGAATAAATCCATCCCTGAGTTTTAGAAGAGCCAGGTAATGAACAGCAAGATGGGCTTTTCGTCTCTTTGACCTGAAATAGCTAGCTATTTTGAAAGAAGGCCGACTTGGAGCCCCTGGCAACTCATCCCTTCCTCTCTGTTGAACAGGCCTCCCACGTCCGTAACAGGAGCGATGGGCTCAGAACTTGGGCGCATCACTTTCGTCTTTGAGACCATCTGCTCTGCAGACTGCGTGCTCTATTTCATGGTGGTAAGTGAGGAGGATCCACGGAGGGAAGTCTGTAGAGATGCTACAGCTGGCCCCATCCCGCCAACTTTATCTAACAACCTCAGTCCTGCTCCAGTGGTGGGATTCAAATGGTCTTACCACCGGTTTGGTGGGCGTGGCTTGATGGGCGTGGCTTGGTGGGTGTGCCTAATGCCGGTGTGCAGCTATTCCCACACCGTCCGAGACCTACAGCACCAATTGAATAAAGAAGAGAAAAGCAGGGGGAGGATTTTTTTCCTCCTCTCAGCTGACGGTTGGCTTTTTTTTTTTTTACTACCGGTTCGGCCAAACCAGCCCAAACCGGTAGCATATCACAACTGTCCTGTTCCCTAACGTGTGCTTTCTTCATGGTTTGTTGGTCTGTTTTGATTGGTTTTCAGGACCTCAACAAGAAGAGCACCAATGTGGTGGAGTCGTGGAGTGGGGCCAAGGGCAAGCAGTCGTACACCCACCTCATTTCCAAGAATGCCTCCTTTACATTCACCTGGGCTTTCCAAAGGACCAATCAAGGCCAAGATGTGAGTCTCACAATCCTTTCACTGAAAATGAAGGGTTTCTTTTTTTTTGTAAAGCTATGAGACAAACTTCGGTTTCCAGCTTTCAAAGAGCCGGCAAATTCTAATCCCTAAACAGCCGGAGCAGCACCATTACGATTCCAGGTGGCCCTGGGCTTCAGACCACAAGGGAACCCAACATTTCTGCTGTCATGTGAGACATTGGTTAAGTGAGGTTTGCCCCCATTTTGCGACCTTTCCTGCCACGGTTCTTAAGTGAATCTGGCTCCCCCCGCCCCCTGATTTTGATTGTCAGAAAGTCCCAAAAGGGGATCACGTGACTTTGGGACCCTGCAACCATCCTAAATGGGAGTCAGTTGCCAAGTGCCTGGATTTTGATCACCTGATCCTTGGGATGCTACAAAGGTCGTAAGTGTGAAACACGGTCATAAGTCCCTTTTTTCAGGGCTGTTGTAACTTTGAACAGAGACCATCAAAGACCCCACAATTCTCCTCCTCTTCTTCCTCTTCCTCTTCCTTCTCTTCCTCCTTCTCCTTCTTTTCATTCTCCTTCTCCCCTTCCTCTTTCCCCTTCGCCTCCTCCCCCCTTCTTTTCCTTCTGCTCTTCCTCCTTCTCCTCCTCCTACTCTTTTATGCAAACCCCACTCCCTTCTAGCACTGATTATGTTCCCGAGTGAGAGAACGAACCGTTTGCAAGAAAACCACCAAGCCCAGAGATCCCCAAGGACCCCAGACTTCAACCTCCAGCTACAAATATTCTCTTCTCTTGGCAATTACTAAAGTGGAGGTGTTGCAAATGGCTCTTTATATACCTGAGTGTAGCATGTCTTAGATGGTGATGACAGACAAGATAGAAAACGGATGCATTTAATGGGTCTTAGTGGTCTATTTTTTGGGGGGACTGTTTCTTTCAGAACAGGAAGCTGATCAACGACGTGGCCAAGATCTACTCGATCACTGTGAGCAATGTAGTGGACGGAGTGGCCTCCTCCTGCCGGGCCTGTGCCGTTGGTTTAGAGCAGTCTGGCTCTTCCTGCATCCCATGCCCTGTTGGGCACTACATAGAGAAGAAAACCAACCAGTGTCAAGCGTGCCCTCCCAACACGTACCTCTCTATCCACCAAGCCTACGGGGAAGGAGCCTGCGTCCCTTGTGGGCCTGGCAGCCAAAGCACCCAGGTAAAGTGGGCCCCTCAAAAACCTTGGGCTTTGAAAGAAGCCTGACTATGGAGGATTCGGTCAGTGGCTTGTCTAGATAGACCAGGATGTGTTCCAATGCTGGTCCATCACCAGGTCTCCCTGAGCTTTCTCTTCGTTGGCCAAACATACTAGTTCCGGTGGTGGTGTTCTACTGGTTCGGCCCAGTTCGGGGACACAGCTGACAAGCAGTTGTAAACCAAAACACCTTTCCAGAGATTAGAAGGGGGCGACTTCCTTTCTCTTTTCTTGTCAAAGCTTTGCCTGCTCATGCCAGGAGCTTTCAAGAACTCATTCATCTCTCTTCAATGATCGAAGGCCCGGAGACTAAAACATATGAAGAATGGCTGCAGGAATTGGGTTTGGCCAGTCTGGAGAAAAGAGGGTCTAGATGAGACAGGATAGTGGTCTTCCAGTATTCAAGGGACTGCCACAAAGAAGAGGGGGTTCAAATTATTTTCCAAAGCACCTGAAGGCAGGACAAGAAGCAAAGGATGAAAATTAATAAAGGAAAGTACCAACCTAGAAATAAGGAGAAACTTCCTAACAGAACAATCGCCCAGTAGAACGGCTTGCTCAATGGAGGTTTTCAAGAAGAGACTGGACAGCCACTGGTCTGAAATGGTGTAGGAGCTCCTGCTTGAGCAGGAGCTGGACTAGAAGACCTCCAAAGTCCCTTCCAGCTCTATTCTGATTGATTGATTCTTTTACTGGAGACATGGAGATGATAATAGTCCCTTCTTTGGCCAACATCAGGATTTGGAACTTTCAGACCTTACTGAGCTACAATTCCCTCTACACCCAGCCCCAGCATAAGGAACAGGAAGGAAGGGATGCTGGAAGTTGCAGCTGATGAGTGTCTGGAAGCTGTCGGTCTCCCTTTTCTGATCCACCCCGTTGTGATGATGATTTGGGTGGCTGGTTTTCCTCCTGAGCCTAGTTTCTAACTTGATTCCCGTAGTCTTCCCTGCAGCCGCTCACTTCTAATTTGTCCTCCTCTCCTCTCCTCAGGACCGCTCGGCCTGCTACAATGACTGCCACTTCTCCTACGTCAGGAACAACCGGAGCCTGGCTTACGATTTCAGCCGTCTGAGCAGGGTGGGCTCCTTAATGAATGGACCGAGCTTCACCGCGAGAGGCACCAAATTCTTCCATTTCTTCAACATCAGCCTGTGTGGGTCCCAAGTAAGCGCCTGCCTTTCCAAGATTAAAAACGACTATTATCTGGGATCCGAGGCAATTTGATCTGGTCAGAGCTGGAAGGGGTGTCTTTAGCCTTTAGGAAGGTTCCAAAAACCCGGTTTCCCCCACAGGAGATGAACACGGATAACAGAGAAGGCAGGTTTGGGAAGGTGGGAGGCGGGTTTGAAGGATGCCACCCAGAGACCACGGTGATGTTGATTTTGGTTTCAGCGTTCCTGCCACGCTGTTCGTTCAATGTCCAATGCCTGCAGTCACGGTCACACAATTTGGGGTAGGGCATATAAATCCAAAGAAACAGACAGCTAAATAAAAATTGTCACCTTATTGGGATCTCCAGCCGATCGGAGAATGGAAATGAAACAGCGACTTGTGGATTCGTGACCCTGTTAGGAAGACGTAGGCTATTCGATCATCAGGAAGGGAGGTTTGTGGTTAGTCTGATCATACCAAAACACCAGATAATCACAGAAACATTTAATTCTCTACCATCTGTGTTTCTGGTTTTCCTTCCTTCCTTCCTTCCTTCCTTCCTTCCTTCCTTCCTTCCTTCCTTCCTTCCTTCCTCCCTCCCTCCCTCCCTCCCTCCCTCCCTCCCTCCCTTCTT